CTAAAGCCTAAAGCCTAAACCTAAACCCCAAACCCTAAACCAAAAACACCAAACTCCGAGCCTGGCCTTTCCAGAGCCCGGCCCACATGCCAGGCAGCCTAGGTTCACCAGAAGCACCGTACTACCAAGGGCAGCCTCTTTCCTAATACTTGAGGGTTTAGGGTGTAGGGTTTAGGGTTTTAGGGTTTAGGGTTTAGGGTTTGGGGTTACTACTTCCTTTTGTTAAGGGTTTCAGGGCGTAAGGCTTAAGGCTTATATAGGGCAGCCTTTTGAGTAGGACTACTTTCTTTCGATAGGGGTTTAAGGCGTAAGGCTTCAAAGCCCTAAACCCTAAACCCTAAACCCAAAAAGAAACAAGGCAAAAGGCTACCACTGGGGGCCCTGAACCCTAAACCCTAAACCTTAAACGCAAAACCCCAAACCCAATAAGAAACAGTGCAAAAGGGTACCACTGGGGGCCCTAAACCCTAAACTTTAAACCCAAAACCCTATAAAACCTAAACTCAAAAAGAAACCGTGCAAAAGGGTACCACACGGAGCCCTGACCCCTGAACCCTAAACTTTATACCCTAAACCCAAAAGGAAACAGGGCAAAAGGCTACCACTGGGGGCCCCAAACCCTAAACCCAAAAAGAAAGAGTGCAAAAGGGTACCACCGGGGGCCCTAAACCCTAAACCTTAAACCCAAAACCCTAAAACCTAAACCAAAAAGAAACAGTGCAAAAGGCTACCACTGGGGGCCCTAAACCCTGGACCCTAAACTTTAAACCCGAAACCCTAAAACCTAAACCCAAAAAGAAACAGTGCAAAAGGGTAGCATTGGGGGTCCTAAACCCTAAACCCTAAAACCTAAACCCAAAAAGAAACAGGGCAAAAGGCTACCACTGGGAGCCCTAAACCCTAAAACCTAAACCCAAAAAGAAACAGGGCAAAAGGCTACCACTGGGGGCCCTAAACCCTAATCTTTAAACCCACAACCCTAAAACCTAAACCCCAAATAAGAAACAGGGCAAAAGGGTACCACTGGGGGCCCTAAACCCTAAACCCTAAACTTTAAACCCTAAACCCTAACGCCTACACCCAAAAAGAAACAGTGCAAAAGGCCACCACTGGGGGCCCTAAACCCTAAACCTTAAACCCTAAACCCTAAAACCTAAACCCCAAAAGAAACAGTGCAAATGGGTACCACAGGGAGCCCAAACCCCGCAACCCCAACCTTTATACCCTAAACCCTAAACCCAAAAAGAAACAGGGCAAAAGGCTACCACTGGGTGCCCTAAACCCTAAACCCAAAAAGAAACAGTGCAAAAGGGTACCACTGGGAGCCCTAACCCTAAACCTTAAACCCTGAACCCTAAAACCTAAACCCAAAAAGAAACAGGGCAAAAGGCTACCACTGGGGGCCCTAAACCCTAAACCCTAAACTTTAAACCCAAAAACCTAAACCCAAAAACAAACAGGGCAAAAGGGCCTAAACCCTAAACCCAAGACCCTAAACCCTAAAACCCCAAAACCCTAAACCTTAAACCCAAAACCCTAAAACACTTAAACCTTAAACCCAAAACCCTAAACCCAAACAACCCAAAACCCTAAACCCTAAACCCAAACCCAAACAACAAACCCAAAAGCCCCAAAACCCTAAACCCTAAACCCTAAAACCCCAAAAGAAACAGGGCAAAAGGGCACCACTAGAAAAAACCGAGGAGCTTCTTCTCCAGGCAGAGAAGTACAGCGCGCTCCTCAGTAGATCCGGCATTTTGGGTGTAAGGTAGGGGCCTTTAATAATTAGAGTTTAGGGTTTAGGCTTTGGGGTTTAGGGTTTAGGGTTTAGGGTTTAGGCTTTGGGGTTTAGGGTTTAGGGTTTGGGGTTTGGGGTTTAGGGTGTAATGTAGGACCTTTAATAATTAGAATAGGGTTTTGGTGGCTCCTTTAAAGGGTTCCTTCAAGGGTTCTATCAGGGCTACTATAAGGGTTTAGGGTTTAGGGGCCTTAAGAACTGGAACAGTTTTTTTGGGGGTTCCTTGTTATAACTATGGTACAATCGGCCCCAAAACCCTAATTCTAATTATTAAGGCCCCTACATTAGAAATTTAATTAAGGTTTTGGCGGCTTAGAGTCCGGGATAGGGTCTATACGGTTTCGGCTTAGGGTTTGGGGTTTCAAGAGTTTGGGAGTTTAGGGTGTACCTAGAGTCTCCAGCGTAGTTGCTTTCTGGGTTCCCTTATAGGATTCTATATATATATATATAACTTGGTCTTCCCCCCCCAAAAAAAAATAACCACAATGGAGACTACGGGTCCTTTGACTGCAGGTCCCTTATGGATCCCTTTACACGAAGCCTTACGGAATCCTTTCGGGTTGAGAGTAGGATTCAGGGTGAGACAGGGTTTCCGTGCGGGTCGAAGCTTGGTTCTACGGCGATCTAAACTGAACTTCAGGCCGCAAGGGATTAGTTCTTTTTAGGATTTATAGAATGTAGGGTGTAGGGTTGTAGGGTTTAGGGTATGGGGCAGTCTTACGTTTTTAAGATGTCTTATGTGACCCTTGGGGTTTCAAGCATTAGAAGTAGGTTTCAGGGTGCCCGGTTGTAAGACCTACCTGACTCCGTAAGTTCAGTATTAAAGAACATAAGTGCACTTGCCTAAGGGTCCATGTGCCCAATAGTAGGTACTTTGGCCCCAAAGTGTCCAAATATGGACTACTTTAAGGCCAAAGTATCTATCCACTATTTGGGTACATGGACCCTTAGGGCTTGGGAGCCTATGGAATCCAAAAGTGCACCGGGCTTCAAAGCCCAAAGCATCAGGCCGAAAGCCTGGGCCCTTACATCGAAGTCCTATTGCCGACATCTCACCGAACACCCAGCCTTGGCTAGCCTACCTAAAGGATCATTGGGACTTAGTAAGTAAGGCTATTAAGATTCAAGGTTTAGGGTTTAGGGTCTAGGGTTTAGGGTTTGGGGTTTAGGGTTTGGGGTTTAGGGTTTAGGGTACTTAAGGGATCATTGGGACTTAGTCAGTAAGGTTATTGTTAGGGTAGCTATACTTATGACTACTTATGACCCCAATTAAGGTACTTATAAGCGTACGTACTAAGTCCCATAATCCTCCAAGTATGCGATAACGATGGACGCGTGTCTGTACCCTGCCCCTCAATCTCGAAGACCGTCTCGCTGACGTTCTTCACCAGTCCTGCTTGTGCTTGGTGTCCGGGTTAGGGGTTCAAGCTATGATACATGTGCCCAGGGTTCAACATTCAGGGTTTACCGACAAACGCCTCAACGATCGGGACAGGGTTGGATGTATACTATGACGCTATGCTGTGCTGCTATGCAACCGAGAAAGTTGCAAAGGCAGAAGTGTAATCATGATTCAGGCAAAAACGATGGATGCTTCAGGGTGTATCGAGGACGGCGTGTAAATTTCAGTCCCGAGGGTCTGTTGCTTGATAAGCTTAAGGCAATATATTTAGGCCAGACCCTGGAGTCAAAACACCCTGGGCAGTTTACTTTACTTGTAAGTATGGTTATAACTACCTTGATCGAGTTAAAAGTAGCTATAGGTATCTCGTAATAATAGCCTTGGTTACTAAGTCCCATGATCCTTTTAAGTACCCTAAACCCTAAACCCTAAACCCTAAAGCCTAAACCCCAGGGGGGTGGATCATAAGGCATACGCGACCCTTAAAGTAGGGTTTAGGTCTCAGGGTTTAGGGTTTAGGGAGCCCCTGAGCTTTTAAGACCTTTGAAAGCCCTAACCGTAGCGCCAACTACGCGAGACTTCGCAACGAAACCCTAAAGCCCTATACTGGGTTTAGGGTTTAGGGGGACCGTAAAATCCTGAAGGCCCACCAACACGCCCCCCAAAACCGCTACAGTTTTCCTGCAAGCTGACCGGCGGCAACCGGAGGAGCGGATTTCAAGCCGAGCCTGGGGGTTTCGGGAGCCACACAAGCGGGAAACACCAACAGCAGCAGCACCCCTATAAGGCCAACACCATGATGACGACGACGTTGACGTTGCTGTACATGGCTGATGATGATTGAGGATGGTGGTGATGATGATGATGATGCTGGTGATCCTGGCTATCTACAGTAGAACCCCAAAAGTTGGAGACCCACTACCCGACTAGCCTCAATCCTTAAGAGTGATGCATAGGCAATCCCAGCACTGATTGTCCGAAATCCGGTTTCCAACTTTTTGGGTTTACTATAGATCATGCAGATCATCATCAGCAGCAGCATCATCATCTTCGTGGTCATTGTCATCGTGATCCTTGCCGCCATTAGCGCCATCATCGTCATTATCATCATCATCATCAACATCACCCATAGCAGCAGCGCCACAGACCAGAGGTCGTTATCACACGAACCTTCCGCTCTCAGCAGCAAAGCCTCGCTTCAATGGTGGTACGAGAGATAAGAATACGGCTTCATAAACTCCGGGAGGGCATTCACATGGATTTCAGTGCTTGTTGTAAGCATAAACTTCGCTGCATCCTGCTACATGGCCAAACCTCGAACCGTGAAGCCCAACGTCACAGACAGCGTTTGTGTCTACTGACTGCTCTTGCACTGACTGTCATACCCAACCCCTTGCCCTTCCTCTTTGCCACAACTACCATTCTAGCAGTACTTAAGCCGTATAAGGATCCGTACGGTTCTTGACATCGTTGCAAGAAATCCGGACACCGTGAATCTGATCTTTGAGCGTTCGTTTTTCAATCTCAGAACAGGAACAGGTTTAGGGTTAAGGGTTTAGGGTTCAGGGTTCAGGGTTTAAGGTTTAGGGAACCCATGTGCCGGCCAGGGACTTGACCATGCGCTTGCCCAGGGCCCAGTCAATATCCTTTCCACGGGCATGCCTCATCTTGATGGCGGTGCCCTAAGGGTCCATGTGCCCCAATAGTCTATACTTTGGCCTTATAAGGTAGTCCCAATATAGGTACTTTAGGGCCAATGTTCCACTATTAGGGTGCATAGACCCCTTGGGTGATGGCGGTGCTGAAGGGTTTCGGGTCCTGCTTAGAGCTGACAGTCTTGGGAATCGGCTGCGCGGGGTTCTGAGTGCGGAGATTAGGACTTGGGGGGTTTAGTGGGACCTACCTGTGGAGCAAACACCTACCTTGTTAAGGACTTATATATAGAAACCGTAATGGGGAACCCTAAAAAGGTAGGTTTTTCGGCTACAGGTAAGGCTTAGGAGCTGAAAGGCATGGGATTCTCACGGCAACATCCTGCACTGCACCGCTCAACTGTAAAGCCCTGAAGCCCAACACCATGACAAACCCGCAAACTTAAAAGAAAGGTCCATGTACCCAGCAATCATACGCTTGAAAACTATGTAGCCAGCAAATACTACAGATTTCCAGATGAGATCTCTCTTATAAGGGCTCGGCACTGACACGCTTAAGGTAACTCTGAACACTACACCCTAAAAACTATGAACCCTCTATATAGGATGAACGATTCATCATAAATCCGATGGATGAACGACTCATCATAAATCCGAAAAATCAAAAAAGGTTGCTTTTCCTGACCTGCCGATAGGGCCAGCGGCTGTGGAATAGGCATGCGGATGTGGATTTCAGATGCAGTCTGCGTCCATGAGTATCCTGGGCGCAAGAGTTAAGTCTGTGGTATACGGAATCGCATGGGTGCTACACGGAGGAGGGCGCAGCATGCAGGAATGCGTCTTTGCTTTGGGGCTCTACGGTTCAGTTTATTTGGGGGAGAGCCTCACCTCTGGGTTACTTGTCTTCAGCACCTTGTCATATATAGCGGTATATCACTCGCAATGGCAATCTCGGATCGAACTTATAGTCACCTTACCCTATGCTTCTAAGGGAGCTTATAGTTAGGGCCCTAGACCGCTTAAGGACCCAATAACAGGGTCCCTGGAAGCCGGGAGTCCTAAACCCTAAACCCTAAACCTTAAACCCTAAGCCCTATAAAACCTTAAACTCTAAGCCCTAAACCCTAAACCTTAAACCCAAAGCCCTAAACCCTAAACCTTAAACCCAAAGCCCTAAACCCTAAACCTTAAACCCTAAGCCCTCAACGCTAAACCTTAAACCCAAAGCCCCAAACCCTAAACCTTAAACCCAAAGCCCTAAACCCTAAACCTTATACACACATCCTCATGACAAATCATCCGGTTGCAGACCCGAAAGTTGCGGCAGCCATGTGCTTGAGCGACTTTCAACTGGGCTGTAAGCACAGTAGGGACACGAGTAATGTAGGGGCCTTAATAATTAGACTAGGGTTTCGGGGTTCATTATAGTATAGTTTTAATAAGGAGCCCCGAGAGATAATACTGGTCATTATTTATTCTTCTATAGAAATTAAACTACACTCAGAACCACCAAGTAGAAACTCCAACTGGAAATTCTGCTTCCAGGGGCTACCCCAAGCCCTAAACCCAAAGCCATGCGATGCGAAGCCGAAGACCTACAGTCGACTCGAAAAGCCCTACAACATAATACAGAGTTCTAACCGATTAGGAATCTTTCTTCCATGAAAGTCCTTAATATCATCGTACTAGAAGATACCCCAGAATCCGTACTCTTGTCAGTAAAAAGTCATAAGGACCCTTAGGGGGGTAGGGGGGCCTCAATGCCCGTAATAAGGACCTAAGAAGGCCTGTTCGAGGCCCTACCCCCCTCCCCCTAACCCCTCTGAGGGTCCCTATGATTAAGGCCCCCCCATATTGCTAGAAGGGCCTTAATAATTAGCATAGGGTCTTGGGGTATATTATGCTATAGTTATTAAGAAGGAACCTCCACAAATAGTATAGGTATTTAGTTAGGCCCCTATATTAAACCCCAAGGGTCCATGATGACAAGAGTCCATCGCCACCGCCTTGGAGCTGCACGCGAAGTCCGTCAGGCACGGGCGGAAGCACAGCGGCGACAGCAACTTGGCCGAATTTAGTCCTCGATGCGGAGAGCGGTTACGGCTGGTAGCTCTGGGCTATACAGGGTTTGAGACTCATTTTAGGGTTTAGGGTTCAAGGTTTACGGGAAATGGTTGCGTGATGTTACTTAGGGTCTGTCGCCTTGTGTGCTCTACTTAGACATGGCTTCGTCTCCTGATCCGGATAGTTACTACACTACTGAACTCCGCCCCAGATCCACCAGTGCAGAAAGAAGCAGTTTCAACCCATCGCCCCGAAATCTGAAATCTGAATGGTCCTGACATGGACGGCTGCTTATGGTTTGAGGGTTCGGACTCAAGGTTCAGGCCTTGGGGTTTCCCCCGGGTTGTGCGTTGTGGTTTGTTTCCTGCTTCCCTCGTCGGATTTGGGTCTGCTTGGGGGTCTTCGATAGTGTCATCATCATACTCTCCTCCGTCTGCTTGCAGTCTTTGGCATTATCATCATGGTTGGTGGACCCTCCTCGCCTTTCAGCAGAATAGTGTGGTTCGGGTGCTTAGGATTTTGTAAGGGCAGTTATGAAATATCCTAAACCGGTACCTAGCCCTCAAGATTATTTCTAGCTGGGGTTTAGGGTCTCATTCATATTAATCACCAATAAGGGACCCTAAAGGTCCAAGTACCCATTATTTAAGGAATTTGGGGCCTTGTTGAGTACCTAAAACCATAAATGAGGACTATTTGGACATTTAGGGGGAAGCAACAGTTCAAAACCCTAAACCCTAAACCCCAAACTGGTACCTGTGGTGTAATCCCAAGGACGGCCAAGCCGCTGGCAAACACCTGCTTTGGGGTTCAGCGCTTCCACCACCTTAGATTCAGGGTTAGCGTTTAGGGTTTAGGGGTTTAGGGTTTCGGGTTTAGGGTGGCGTTCATCAACATCTTCTAAGGGCCGTACAAATTAGAATAGAGTTCCGGGGTATGGTGTATCAGGGTTATTAAAAGGACTGTAAGGAACGGAAACACTACCAACCATTCAGGCCTCTATCGCACAGTATCCTAATTCAGGGTATGGTTCTTGAATTCAGTGAAGTGGAGGAATCCGGAGAGGCTTTTGCGTGAGATGTTGATGCTATTTGGGTCTCTTGGGTTTAGGGCTTGAGGGTTTAGGGTCGGGTTCTGGGTCGATGTAGTACCTAGTGCGGCGTGTACTCGGATTTACGGCACATGCCTTCGTTGGGAAAACCACAAGTCGCAAGGATGTTGCTCAGCTTCGTGCCCAAGCCTTAACTTAGATTGAACCCTCAGCCTGAACCCTTAAACCCCTGAGCCGCAAGATATACCAGGCCTAAACCATACCTTAAGCCTGCAAGCCCATACCGAGCCAACACCCAAGACGGGTTTAGCAGTAGGTTCCTCAGTGCATCATCCAGGATCTTACTTCCCAAATAAGCCAGGGAAATAAAAGGTTAAACTTTCAGATTACTACTGAATTATAAGAACCCAAAAAGTTTAAAGGTTGGGTATTGGGGAACTAAGGGATGATGGGGGGCGAGGCTTTATAGGGTGCCGGAGCTCCAGAACAGAACAGAACAGAACAGAACAGAACAGAACAGAACAGAACAGAACAGAACAGATCAGAGCAGAACAGAACAGAACAGAACAGAACAGAACAGAACAGAACAGAACAGAACAGGGCTTCGACGTCTGTGACGAACGTAGGGGCCTCGATGAGTAGAATAGGGTTTTGGGCTCCTTTATCGTATAATAGTTATAGTAAGGAACCCTATAAGCAATAAGATTGTTAAGTATTTAGGCTTCTATATATTACACATCGACATCCTTGTTACTTAATCAGGCTCCGCTGAAGTAGGGCCCTCCAAACTCTATGCCACACTGGAGCCGACTGAGAGGTTTTGGGTTGAAGGGTCCCGGGTTTAAGGGATTAGGGGTTCAGGGCACCACCCCTAAACCCTAAACCCTAAACCCTAAACCGCCACCACGCTGAACATCTCTAGACCCAACGATCCTGCAAGCGAAGCACATGCCTGCCAACTCTAGACCCGGGCTCCTCATCACGAAGCCCCCGATCCCAATATCTCTACCTGTAGTCTCCATTCTAGTTCCTTTTGGGGATACATTCTATAACCCTGAATATATAATTGGTTAAACCAAAAAAAGGAACTACAATGGAGACTACAGGTAAACTCCGCTATATCATTTACATCCTGAACCTTGAACCCCTCAACCCACCCAACATCTCTCAACACTGAACACCCCAAACCGAAATCTACAACTCAGTGACCACGCACCTGCAGGGTCGTGTTCAGCTCATCCTCACTGGCCAGGTCGATCTTGTTCACCACGACGACCTTTAGAAGTTCTTGTACCGAGCTTAGGGCTTTGGGGGTTTAGTGTTTTGGGTTTGGGGCTTTGAGTTTAGGGTTTGGGGTTTAGGGGCGTGCCTGCAAACTGAAAGCCGCTCTACGATGCTACAAACTTGAAGTATTCGCGTTTTTGGCAGTCTTAGGAATTGGCCGTGATGCTAGTATCGCAGCATGTGTCTCCTACTGATGCAAGAAAGCAGTGGTGCATCCTCGTCATGGTGTCATGCCTGGGTCAAACACCGAAACAGTTCATCTGTCAATTCGTACACGGCCTAGCGCACGGTGCATTGGCAGCATTACGGTTATTGCCATTTCGAGTATGATTATGACCACCGATACTACTATCAGTACTGTATTCACACCGGGCTACAGGTCCACCTTCTGCATGACATGGCCGATGAGCAGCTTCGAAGCTGGGAAAAAGCTGGACAAACGCGGTTTTGAAACACCCCTAACCCCTAATCCCTAACCCCTAAACCCTAAATCCTAAACCCCTGAACCCTAAACCCGAACCCCTAAACAACCCCGATTGATGAAAACCCGATCCCGAGGCCTAGACCACTGAGCCAGGAAATGGTGATGGGTCGCTTGCCCTCTGATCAGACTCAGTTTAGGGCTCGGCACTATAGAGTTTAGGGTTAGGGTTTAGGGGTTTAGGGCTCGGCAGTATAGCTGTGGGGTCGTGGCCTACTATGTCAAAGGGTTCGAGGATGCATGTAGGGGTTGATATGTTCAGAAGCGGTAGGTTTTTTCGGAATTCACCAGGCATTAGCCTCCATTTTCTAGAATGACTGGGCATCAAGAGTTGGAACAGTGTGTAGGGAATATATATGTATGTATATATATATATATAATGAAGAGGGCCTGTAAGTTACCTACACAGGAGCATATATATATATATATAGAGACTATATATATATACACACATATTATCTATATATGTTTATGTAGTTATATATATATATATCCATAACTGTATTGCAGACTGCAACATGAGTCGAGATGGGCATCGACTATACATTGCGAACGATCGCAGAACCGCTGGGCTCCTCTCGTGCCCGAAGCTTTCAGCCCCCACCTCCCCAAAACTCAAAACCCCAAAGCCCCTAAACCCTAAACCCTAAACCCTAAACCCTAAACCCCAAAGCCCCTAAAAAGCTTAGGGTGTAGGTTGGTTGGTTGGTTGGTTGGTTGGCTGGTTTAGGGTTTAGGGTTTAGGGTTTAGGGCTTAGGGCTCAGGGTTTAGGGTTTGGGGCCCCGAAGCCCCTTAACCCCAAAACCCCCAAACCCTTAATCCCCCAAACCTGGGCCAGACCGCTGAGTTTTTCAGCTCCAGAAAAAGGCCGCAGAAAGTCCCTATAGGTTGAATTTAGGTGTAACATAACACTTATGAAAAACCTATTGGATTTATTAAGGCCCTTATATCTGTCTGTCTATCTATCTATCGATCTATCTACCTATATATGTATCTGTATATGTATATGTACACATATATTACATTACACACGTCTGTTCTGCAGCCACAATGGCGTCTGCCAACTCCACCTGTTCTGCGAGAAGCTGACCCACGCCCTCTGTAGTTTGTCTCTGCCTGGAATGGTGCAGTGACCCTAAACCCTACACCCTACACCCACCCCACCACGAGCTTTGGGTTCAGGAGCTTCAGACTTCGGACGACAACGACCACAGTCGTATTCCTCAGGCCTTAAGGGTCCATGTGCTCAAACAGTATATACTTTGGTCTTAAAGTAGTCTCTTTATATGTACTTTGGGGGCCAAGGTATAGGACGCTTAGGGATGGGCGACCCCATCCCCAGGGGACGCGCAACGTAGAGTATCAAGAATGCAAGTATTGGCAGTAGACAAGCCCAGAATGTTGTGAATTGTGAGGCTTAGGGCTTAGGTTTTGGGTTTAGAAGTAGGGTGTAGTTTGAGGACTAAAGAGGAGGATGATCGAGCTCGTAAAGACGCCCCTTTGTCAAGGAGATTTTCTGCGCACCCCTCGGACCTGTATTAACCCGCCTCCCATCCCTGTCGCTCTGTGGCAAACCCTAACAAATGGTATAATTATACTTTGGCCTTTAAGTGGTCCCTATATATAGGTACTTTGGGGCCAACGTATATACTATATGAGTACGTGGACCCTTAGGGAAAACGAAGGCGAAGATCTTCCCATGTTTAGTCTTCCTGTGCTGTTGCTGCCTCGCCTCAAGGTTGCCGGGGTTGGGGGAGCAGTGTTAAAGCTATTTCGAGTACTTGCTCACCCTTACATGTGTACCTGAACTCCAGAACAGCTAGCCTCATGGGGCCCCTTCTAGTAACCTCCTCTTATATAAAAATATATTCATCTATATATATATATATATATGTAGACATTGAA